GCAACCGTGCACGCCAGTTTATAGTTCGTGCTGCCCGTGCGCACCACCTTCCCCCTCCGTCGACGGGCCCGAAAGTGCGGACCCGCACGACGGTCCCGACAGTGTTTCAGGCGGAGGGTGATCGGGCTCCTGAGTATGAGCGCCGAATGTCGGCGCTCGAGGCCCACATCGCCGCTCGAGAGGCGAAGTATGTAGAACCGTGATTTTGTTTCAGTTCGGTGGGGTGCCCTATCGCGGCCTAGGGCGGAGTGTCGGGAGCTCCGCCCCTGGGTTACACATGTCCCCTCTGAGGGGCACCCCGCCGAGTAAGACTTGCGAGTCTCTTCCCCCTGGGGCTGCTCTAATCTAACCTGCCCCTCCTCCTCCTCTTCCTGCCCCGTCCTCCTCCTCCTCATCCTCCTCCTCCTGCTCCTCCTCCTCTTACTGCCCCCTCCTCCGCCTCCTCCTCCTGCTCCTCCTCCTCTTCCTGCCCCCTCCTCATCCTTCTCCTCCTCCTCCTCCACCACCACCTCCTCCTTCTCCCGTTCCTCCTCCGCCTTCTCCTCCGCCTCCTCCTCCTCGTTCCCCTCCTTACGAGCACCGTCCTGCATTCAGCCTCCACTGGAGCAAGGGTCGGGCGGGGGCGGCAGTCGACAGGCTCTTCGCTGCTCCAGGTGCTGCGCGAGGAAGCTGGCGAGGAGGCGGCGGTGTGAGATCGAGCCCTCCGCGCGGGCCACACGAGGCGTCAAAGCCTGCCGGAGGAACCGACGGCTGACTCCGGTGGCATGGCGGGCCTGGCCCCCCCCTACGGGAACCTCCTGTGCCCCTTCGGGTGTCTCGCCCCAATCCTTCGTCGGACAGACAACGCTCCTCATTACCCTAATAGTGTGGAAGGTTCCTTCCTCAGGCGTATACTTGGTAGGTTCGCTGGGGGTGGCATGGGGAGTCAAACGCTCGGTACTGCACGCCATGATGGCAAAGCGATAGTGGCCATGGGGGCCATCCCAAGAATCCACGATGCGCGACAGTGACCATACTTAGGCAAATCGGCCAGACGGGGGGAGGAGGACTAGAACGGAGGAGGAGGAGAAGGAGGAGGAGGAGGAGGAGGAGGAAGAGGAGGAGGAGGAGGAGGACGAGAAAAAGGAGGAGAGGGCGAAGAGGAGGAGATGGAGGAGGGCGAGGGCGACGCGCACGGCGGCGGCCGAGGCGACAGAGGACGGGGAGGGTTGAAGGAGAAAGATGGGGCGGGGGGAGGGGGGGGAGGAACGCGGGGGGCGCCGGGGTGCCGGGGGGGGGGGCGCGGGGAGAGAGGGGCGCCGTCGGAGCGGGTGCGGGGCAGAAAAGGGTTTCAAAAACGAATTGACCGGATTGAGCATCAGTGAATTTTGCCTCGTGGGGCCCTCTGGGGAGGGTCTCTGGGGGCGTTTCGGGGGCGTCTTGGGCCGTCTGGAGGGCACTTGGACGTCCTGCGGGTGCGGGAGCTTCTGGCGACTGGAAGCCCTCTTGGACTGTCTTGGGGGCCTCTTGGGGCCCTCTGGGCCAGTTGTGGGGGGCTCTATCCTCCCATTGGCCAGGCCAGTTGGATGCGTCGGGGCCAGGCCAGTTGGATTTGGGCGGACTCCTCTCCCTCCAAATCGACCCGACCAGGTTACGGGGGGAGGGGGAGGGGGAGGGGTGAGCATCTCACACGCTGAGGACATTCCAATGGATCGGGAGATTTTGGCGCCACGTTCACATTGCAGTGATTTTTTTTCTGAGAGGGATGGTGGGCTTGCACAAACGGTGTAATATGATGCCCCTTTCCGTCGTGTAACAGACCACTACGTAGTCGGGGGGAGGACGCCCGAAGATGATCCAGGTCCAGTCCCATGATGCACTTTGTCTTGTAATCATCGTGGTGGCCAGGATGGTTGGAGGAGTTGTCTTTGTCTCGGGTCGGCCGTCGGTCGAGTCAGTGTGTTTTGGACCGTTCTGAGAAGGCCGCGGCGCCCGAGACATCCTCCAGAGCCGCTGGATCTCAGAGATTCCCGACTTACCTGCTCCCTTCCATTTACCTACAGAGATCTCCCAGATTCGGGGGGGGGGCTCGACCATTGCTCCCGTCTCCTCATCCTTCCATCCTTCGCCCCTCTCTCTTTTTTCTCATCCCCTTACTCGCATATGTTTCTCCCTCGCTTCCGTGTTTTCTCATCCTCTCTTTGTTCCTCCTCTTCCTCCTCCTCCTCCTCCTCCTCCTCCTCCTCCTCCTCCTCCTCCTCTTCCTCCTCCCGAACGAGGGTGTGCAGTCAGCCTGTTGGGTCTCGTGTTCTCCTGGGGTGTCCCCCCCAAGTGGCGGCTCCGCTGTGTGCTCCCCTTCTGCCGCTGCGTCTCAGCTGGTAGGGCTGCGTGCTCCCCCACCTGCGTATCCTTCTGCTGCTGCTCCGGTGTGTTAGCACGGCTGTTGCTGGTGGTGGTTGGGTGGGCCCTTCGGCTTGACTGCGGGTCAGTCGACGGGTCTCGTGGTGGCATGGGCGGAGCCGCGGCGGAGCTATCGCTTCCTCTCGCTTGCGTGCCAGGGGAGCACGTGGCCGAACCACCGAGCACCCTGCCGCCCCATGCCGCCCCTCGTGCTCATTGGCGCATCCCGGCTGCCTTCGCCCCCCAGGTAGGCGTGTGCCCGCCCGCGGGGTCATGGACTCGTGGGCTCATGGAGAAGCGACGGAGGTATGTGCTTTGCCTGCGTGCCACCACGGAATCATTCAGGATCCTGCGAGTGCCTGCGTGCCACCACGGACCCGTGGTGAATTGGCAATTTTTGCTTCTCCTCCCCCTCCTCCCCCACTCCTCCTCCATTTCTTTTTTTTCATCCGGCCGTCAAGCTCCATTTCCGCATTCGTCCTCCTTCCTCCCGCCCTTCTCGTCGTCTTTGTCCTCGCCGTCCTCCTCTCCCCGTGCTTATCCCACTCCCTTCCTCCTCGTATTTAGCCACGCTCCAGGCCAGCAGGGCAAACCGCCCCGCGTCCACGGCGCGGCCACAGGACAGGAGGCTCGACGAGTTCGAGGGCGTCGTCATGACGGCGCCCAACGTGAGGAAGGCCCGCGACGTGCGGAGAACAGTGGGGAGGTGGAGAAGGAGGAGGAGGAGGAGGAAGAAAAAGAAGAAGAAGAATAAGAAGAAGAGGAAAACATGGATGAGGGGAAGGAGGAGGAGGAGGAGGAGGAGGAGGAAAATGAACAGTAAAAAATGGATGAGGACGAGAAGGATGACGAGGAAGAGGAGGAGAAGGAGGAGGAGGAGGGGCAGGGAGAGAGGAGGAGACGAGCACAGGAAGGAGGAGGAGGACGAGGAGGAGGAGGAGGGGCAGGGGGGAGAGGAGGAGAAGAGCAAAGGAAGGAGGAGGACGACGAGGAGGAGGGAGAAGGGAAGGTGCCGCCGATGTCGCCAGCGCCCCTCCGAGAAAACCCTCTCGCTTCCCTGCCCCATGCGTTTCCTTTTTGCCTGGAGGAGGAGAGGGAGGAGGAGGGAGGAGCGGGGAGCGATGCGAAGCGAGGATGATGCGGAGGAGGCTCGAGGAGTGAGGGGAGGGTGGCGTGCAAAGACGTGCCGTCTCTCCTCCTTCCCCTCTTCCTCCTCTTCCTACTCCCCCCCAGGTCCTCGTCGGTCGTTCTCCGCCCTGCTTCAATTATCGAAGGTCCCTCGTGCCCCCGCGCCACTTGTGCAGTCTTTGCGAGGCAAGGTCCTTCGACCTGCTTGGATCCGACGCGCGGGAACGCAGGAATCGCCCGCCCGCCCTATGGCTCATTGGCCGTGCACCATACTCGTGGCATGAAGGCATCAGGACGTCATCGGCGGGAGCCCGATTTTGAACAGGCAACGCCTTCTACCAGTGCAGCGGTTGAACCGTGGACGTGCGCGTGGTTGCCCCGAATGCGATGGCCTTGCAGCTTTTTACCGCGCGTGCTCCGTTTGAGCACCCGTTGGAGACGAGAGTGAGGGAAGGAGGAGGAGGACAAGGAAGAAGTGAAGGAGGGAGTTGAAAGGGGACTTCATCTTCCTCTCCTCCGCCTGGTCGGGGATCGGAGGAGAGTCAGGCCCGAGTGGCCGGGAGCAAGAGGCCGCAGCAGCCGCGCAGGTGGTTGACGACGCCACGGCCGCTGTGCAGAAGGCGGCGGAGGAGGCGAGACGCCAGGGGCCCTGAAACCCTCGAGGACGAGGAGGGGGAGGATCACCGAGTATAGGCCCGCGGACACGTAGACAGAGGCTGTGGGAGATCCGCTCGTGGGTCTGGCTCCGGCGTGGGACCCCCCTGGCAGGTATGGGCTCCCGCGCGGTGTCCCCCCTGGTCTCCCGCATGATACCCCGTATGCACTACCGCGTGCATTCCTGTCACGAATGTGCGTCCGTAGTTACACACAGAATACATCTATATATATATATATATGTATATATATATATATATGTAGATCATGTGCGTATCTACATACTAATACTTGTGGTCTCCCGCGTGTTTCCCCGCCTGGCTTCTCGTATGGCCTCCCGCATGTTCTCCTGCCAGCTCCCGTATGGTCGTTCGTGTACGCCGTCGCAGTGTGTTGAAGTATCTGTTGTCACGGCGTGTTGTTTTGTTCAACGTCAGCGTGGCAACAGACTGCGACGGCGTACACGAAGAAAAAACGTCAACCAAAAAAACGTCAACGTCAGCGTTGGGTCAACCAAAAACAAGGAATCTGTGCCTGACCCAAACACGACGACGCACAACGTCAGCGTTGGGTCAGGCGCAGATTCCTTCAACGTCAGCGTCTTTTGGTTGAGGCATCGGCAAGTCTTGCTTCAAGCCACATGGGCGTGTGCATCAAGTCACGCGAGCGTGAAGGATGATGTTGATCCGTTGATGCAGGTGGCGATGATGAGGAGGAAGGCTTGAGAACCGCCACCACCAGAGAGAAGAAGACACTGGGTAGGTACCCCCATATTCCATGTGTATCGACTGACGTGAACAAAGATGGTTGTGATGTTGCTGATCATGATGACGACGGAGACGACTGCAGTTGCTGCGACGCCTACGATGATGATGATGATGGTGATGATGATGATGCAGATGATGATGATGGTGATGATGATGATGATGATGCTGACTATGATGATGATAATGATGATGGTGGTGGCGATGGTGATGATGATGATGATGATGAGGAGGAGGAGGAGGATGATGATGATGATGCTGATGATGATGATGCTGATGATGATGATGATGATGCTGATGGTGGTGATGATGATGATGATGGTGATGGTGATGATGCTGATTATTAGTATGGTGATGATGATGGTGATGCTACTGATGCCGATGATAACTCTGATGTTGTTGATGGCCAGGATGAAGCTTCCGAGGCGGAGGGGGAGATGGTAAGCGAGGATAGAGGAGAACACGCAAGGACGGACGGGAAATTGACAAGGAATTGCAGTCCATGTTACAACTATTATCGATTGTACGGAATAGTCGAAGTGTGTTTGAGGATGATGGTGGTGTTGATGATGGTGATGACAATGATCATGATGTTGTGGCAAGACTCTTGCGGATGCCACGCCGAGGCTCGGCCATGCCGGGGCAGGCGCGCAAACGGCGCACCAGCACCCGCAGATCATTTCATCTTTTTTTGTCCTCGTTGTACTGCTTCGCGAACGTCAAGCCTCCAGGCATGTGGCCCTTCTCTGTCCGCACAGAGTTCTGCTTGTCAGCCTGCTTGATCAGCGTCACACACGACTTGGCCAGGGCATTATGATTGTTTTCTTGATTTGCGCCGCAATGTCTTCTGACCACCTCACGGTACGCGCTTGCCCCGCCGACATGTGCACCCGCTCCACGATGTATTCCACGAAGCTATCCGCTAGCTCGTTGCCCACGTAGTTGAGCACGTTGGCGCCCGAGTTGATCCTCTCAGCCTCTCCGCCTCCGACATGTGGCTTTTGACCTTGATGACTTCCACTTGCCTGCCCACGATCATTATGCTTGACTACCTTCCACAGGTCCTCAAGCGTCTTAAGTACCTTGCCCGCTTTCACCTTGGCCACACCTCGTACCACGCAACTCGAGCCTGCGATGTGCATGATCCGCTGGAAGCCCTTCGCGCTGATGTACAGCTTCTTAAAGGCCATGAGCTCGCCGCGGTTGACGAACTGCCTCCAGCCCGCGATCCCGCCTCTCCCACCGGCAACGAACATGGGCAGCGCCTTCAGACTCCAGCACGATCCAGCCCCATGCGATGCGACGTAGCCGTAGATTCTGCGTATGCTCCCGTCCTGACGCATCCCCTGCAGCGAGAAGCCACGCCTCCTCGTCCACGTCGCCGAGCTCGCCGAACTGCTCCCGAAGATCTTCTCCAGGTTCAGGTGGAGGCGATACCTGCGTCCAGCTCGTCGGCAAAATGCCAAGTAATCACAGGCACGGTCGGTCTCCCATTTCTTCGAGCGCCCTCGCGACCAAGTCGTTGGACTCCTCGCCTTCCTCGATGATGTCGTGACACTTGTACTGCCACATCCCGTGCTATTCTTCTTCGCCGCACCTTGCTCACATGACGTCTTCGACCTCGGAGGAGGACCTCAGGAGGAGGAGGAGGCCGCTCGGAGGAGAGACAACGCCCTGCAGGGACGCCATTCAGTGATTCGCAACATGGGGGAGGACCATCCCTCCCTCCAATCCCTTTCCATTGGTACGTTGAACACCTTTCTTTCCTGATGCAGGATCACGGCCCACTGCCCATGGGTCGGATGATACGTGGAGATCGTTGCATATGGCACACGCTGCAGCGGGAGCACCAGTGCCGACCATGCAGGGTTGCGGCCACCGTTGCGACGAGAGCGCCGCACCTTCGAACTTCGGACGGAAGATCGACGGAAATCCGCACACAAGGGAAACTTCGAAGCGGGGACGTCGACAATCTTGCGTCAAAGATAGCGGTGTACGATATATGCGAGCGCAATTGCAGACAGCACAAGGGAACAGAGGACAGTGTTGTTGAGATTGTATCATTGCGGAGGCGGAGAGGAGGAGGGGAAAGGGGAAGAAGGATGAGGAGGAGGAGGAGGAGGAGGTGAAGGAGGAGGAGGAGGAGGAGGAGGAGACGAAGGGGAGGAAGGGGAGGAGTGCAATCCTCCCCCTTTCCTTCTGTTCCTCTTCCGTCCTCATCCTGTTTTGCCATCATCCAGAAGGGGAGGAGGAGGAAGAGGAGGAGGAGGAATAAGGTTCCATGCTCCCTCTCCTCCTGCCCCTCATGCCGTTCTCATCCCTTCCCGCCGTCCTCCGCATCCTCCCCGTCTCCTTCGTCCCTCGTCCTCCGTCGTGATCCTTGTCCTCCTTCCTCCCTCCTGCATTCTCCCTCCTTCTTCCCCCTCCTCTCCTTCCTCTTCTTCCTCCTCCTCCTCATCATCATCCACACTCCTGCTCCTCCCTCCTCATGGCAGCTTCTGTCCGCGCTCGCAAGCGCACCTGCGAGGCCGCGGCGAAGGAGGAAGCCATCAAGCAGAAGATCCAGACGGCCAAGGACGCGGCGGCGAGCAAATTCTCCTCCTTCTCCCTGTCCTATCCCCCTCCTCCTCCTCCTCCTCCTCTTCCTCCTCTCCTCCTTCCTTCCCCTCCTCCTCTTCCTCCTTCTTCCTACTCCTCCTCCTCCTCATCCTTCCTCCTCCTCTTCCTCCTCCAACAGACCCACGGGCGCCAGAGTTGGCCCCCCTCCCCCTTCGCCAATGGGACCCGTGGGGACGCAGGGGGGGGCTTTGAATTAAAGAGCATTGCTCACACCAAGGGCGGCGAGTAAAAATCCTCCTCCTCCTCCTCCTCCTCCTCCTCCTCCTCGGGGAGGGTGGGGGTGAGGGGGGGAACAGGCCAGGTGGCGGGAAAGAGGGGGGGAGGAAGGGAGGGAGGGAGGGAGGAAGGAAGGGAGGGGAGAGGTCGGAGGAAGAACAGGCACCAATACTGGTGCTCGTCCTTCAAATCTCTCGTCGCCACGGCCGAGTTGTCATCGAAGCGTTTGGCCAGCATATATCTCAGGAGATGTCCAAAGAGTACGTAGCGATATCGACAACGTTTGATCCCCCAGAGGAGAAGTAGAGGGGGGAAAAGGAGTAGGGAGGAGGGAAGAGACGGCGGAGGACGTGGCGGCGAGCACCTGTCGGCTGAAGCAGACTTCTCAATTCCGGAGGAGTTTGGGCCACGCTCGCGAGACAGTCAATTGAGCCGGTTCAGAGCGCGGTCGAGGCTGCTGTTCTGCGTCGTGCTTTGCGCTCCTTCATGCCCCCTCCTGCTCTCAAGATGGCGCCTCGGGAAACGGGGCCACCCCTTCTGAAGGACATCTGCTCTCGGAGGTCCGCCCGGTGTCCTCGGAGCGGCGCGGGCCGCGCCTCCCCGGGCGGGGCCTCTGGCGAGCGCCCCCGGGGAGCGCCTCCGCGCGCCAGGGAGGGAGGGAAGAGGCAGAATGCCGCGGGCCAAGGGCCAGGAGAGGCGAACACGGGCGAGCGAAGGCACCGGGTGAACACACGGCAGGACCAAGGAGCTGCGGACCAGCGCGTGCCCAGAGCGATTGAGCGATGGGCAGCAGAGTACCCCAGGGTCCAGCCATGCTTCTGCTTCTGGCTGGGACGGCTGGATCGTGCCGCATCGGCGCGGCGGCGACGGCGGCGGCGCCGGCCAGAGCGCTGTGGTTTGCAGTTTGTTTATGGCCGGAGCCAGGCCAATCTTGAGTCAGGGCTGGGCGAGCTCGGTCGTCCCGACAGCGAAACGCGCAACCTGGTCTGAAATGCGCTTATCGTGCAAATCTGGCCCCAAGCGCACGTGGGTGTTTGAATCTTGCACCAGAAGGAATTTGAAGACCCAGTGTGACATGCAGTCGATTGCCACAAACACGGTTCCAGGTGCGCGCGACCGCGCGACTCGAACAGAAACATTGCTGAATAGAGATCATGGTTCGATGGCGTTTCGAACGTGGTGGTATTTCGAGTGGGTGTTGTTCTTGTTCGAGTGAGCGATGTCCGTTGTCGGATCGTGGCAATCTCTCGAGATGGAGAGGTCCGCGTGGTGTGAGGACCAGTGTCTGCTGCGACGCGGCAGGAGACAGCCGTGCACGTGGCCCCTGTCCGAAGGTGTACTCAGGGCCGTCAGAGATGACGAAGGAACCACACACACAGAGATTTTGCTTGACCTCGACAGGCCTCACCACATAAGCCACATGAGCCGGAGGCGACTCCACACAGCACCTGTGGGAAATGCTGTGAGCTCAATGCACCGTGCAGCAGGCCCAAACAGGCGACCATGGGAGGGACGGAGGGGGCTATGGGTGCGTGTTGCCTCCCTCCACGGTCCGACGGCCCGCACCCGTGCCCACAGCCACTCCTCCGCCCTCCGATCCCCCTGGGGGTGTGGCTGCGTGTCGTTCGTCCGTCGGGGCGGGGCCGCGCCGCCTCCCCCCCGAGAGGCTCCGGGGCCCGGAGGGAGCCGCCGAGGGCCCCGACGCGGCCCATTCGGGACCGTCGTGTTTCAGCGCCTCGGGCGTACAGTGAAGACGCTGACATAAGGAGCAGTTTGGGTTCGGAAGGGTCTCGATGTTCCTTGGGTTCCTCCAGTGCTGTTCCTCTTGCCCTCCTGGGGCACGGAGGCGCTTACAGGGCCAAAAAGGGGCTTCGTTCCTTAGTTAGCGTTCCTGCTTTCAGCAGCCCAACTGTATGTTCCAAGAAGGCCGCTTTTGCTGTTCTGAGAGCATTTGGGCCGTCTCACATCAGCACCCCGGGGCTTGTGTTCTCAGAACAGTGCTTTGGTGCTTTAAACATCTAAGAGCATGTCATGGTAGGGCTACAGGGATGCCGGCGCGCGCGGGCGGTCCCTGCTCAAAAGTTGGGGGGAGGCCTGGGGTCAGGGGCGCCGCCGTCGACAACCCAGGGCGGAGTCCAGGGTTAGCGAGAGGAGCCTTCAGTGAGGGCACGGGGGCATCTTGGCAGCGAGCGACGACTCCTGCCGAGACGCCCTCCGCACGGCGTCCAAAAACGGGGGGGGGCGTTTCAACACGAAGGAGGCCACGCGTCCAGGCATCGCTGGCATGCTGGGCCGTGGCTGTTTCGTGGGCCCAGGGGCGCCTGCGGTGCAACCCCAGGCAGGGCCTCCACTTCCTGAGCGCGACGAGGTCCCTCGGGCTCAGGGCTCCGCAGTTCCGGTGGAGGTCGACCCCGCCCCCACAGTACGGCGCTAGCGAAAGCGCGGCCTGCTGTAAGGCCGCGGGACGTGCCAGCCGCGAGGCGGTCAGAAGCGGGCCCTCAGGAGAAGATGAGGATGATACCAGCAGTGCAGCTCTCCTCCTTTTTGCTGCGAGGTCTCTTGCATTGCAGAGGGCTGCGTGAACATAACGGCTTGGAGGCCCGTGCAGTTCTCGTGGATCGGCGCTGTAGCCCTCTCCGCAATCTTCGTCTCCGGCGCGCGGACCGCGCCGGAGAGGCCATCAGGGGAACCCTCCTCCTGCGCGTTTCGCGCCTCCCCCTTTCCCTTCTTCCTCCCCGTTCCCACACCTCCTCTCGGGGGCGCGAAGGCAACTGCGCCGCTCCCTCTTTCCCTTTTTCCTCCCCGTTCCCACACCTCCTCTCGGGGGCGCGAAGGCAACTGCGCCGCGCGACCCTCCCGAGGTCTTGGTCGGGGGCATGTCGCCCGCAGGACTCGTGAAGGTTTCAACAGCTTTTAGTGCGAAGCGCCTGTTGCCTGGGCCAGCCGGGAGGGGGGCCCAGCGCCGATCCAAGACATCCTCTCGGCCTTGTCAGGAGGCCGATCGGATGTCGGGCGGGCCTTCTCAGAAAGCTCGTATATTCCACAGCCTTCTGAGAAGTTTCCTGAACCTCCCCCCATGATCCACGGAGAACCGCTCAAAAGGCGCCAGATGATTGCTGACAAGCCCCGCCGCCTCGTGAGCGACAGGATGGCGGGTTGCAGGAAGCTCGCATGCTCCCCGGGGCCTCCAGTGGTCTCTTCTCGCCGATCGTGGCAGTTCTCCCCCCGGGCCAGGGCGGCGGAGGGGGAGGAGGAGGAGGAGGAGGAGGAGGAGGAGGAGGAGGAGGAGGAGGAGGAGGAGGAGGAGGAAGGCGGTCGCGGCCACGAAAGGGGGAAGAGGCGGAGGAGGAGGAGGAGGAGGAGGAGGAGGAGGAGGAGGAGGAGGTCGGGCCCAGGAGGGGGAGAGGAGGAGGAGGAGGAGGAGGAGGAGGAGGAGGAAGGAGGAGGACGCGGACGCGGCCAGAGGAGGAGGAGGAGGAGGAGGAGGAGGGAGGAGGAGGAGAGGGAGGAGGAGGGGAAGGGGGAGGAGGAGGAGGAGGAGGAGGAGGAGGACCCCCCCGCTCGCTCGCCGCTGAACCTGGGCCTCTCCAGCGGGGGCCGGGGCGAGGGCGGGCCCCCCCCGCCCTCGGCCGCGCCGCGCGGCCCCCCGAGCAGAGTCCGGCCGTGAGGCCCGACCGTGAAGAGGGGCACGAAGGCCCCGGCAGCGCGCACCGTCGGGCGGCCGCGCGGGTCTAGGCTGCCTCTACCTCATCTCCCTCTCCCTCCTCCTCTTCCTCCCCCTCCTCCTCACTCCCCCCTCCCTCCTCACCTCTTCCTCCTCCTCCTCCTCCCTCCTCCTCCTCCTCCTCCACCACCTCCTCTCCCCCTCCTCCTCCTCCTCCTCCACCACCTCCTCCTTCCTCCCCCTCCTCCTCCTCCTTCTCCTCCTCCTCCTCCTCCCCCTCTCCTCCTCCCGCTCCTCCTCCTCCTCCTGCTCCTCCTCCTCCTCCTCCTCCTCCTCCTCCTCCTCCTCCTCCTCCTCCTCCTCCTCAGAGGAGGAGGTCTAGGCCTCCTAGATGGGGTCCGAGTAGATGGGATGGGGTCGGAGGACTGCGCCGCATCGCCGATGCATCGCTGATGCATTGGCGATGCGGCTCGACGCGGAGCCCGATTTGCTCCGCGCTGGCGTCGCCGGTGCATCGCCGACGTCGCCGGAGCATCGCCGATGCATCGCCGATGCGGCGCGAAGCTCCGGCCCTATCTACTCGGGCCCCATCTTGGAGGTCTCCACGTGCGGGGTTGGGGGTTTCGAAGGAGGATAGCCCAGAGATCCCGGCGCTCCAGAACAATTGGAGCGGACGGCTGGGGGCGGACGCGAGGCCCAGCTTTGGAAAGCCCAGATCAGATCTATGTGCGGGGGCGGGGGTTGCGAAGGAGGAAAAACTGGAGCGTACGGTTTGGGGCTATTTTCTGCCTCCGGGGGCCCTCGCCAGGCCTCGGGGCCGTCGAGAAACGATTGAGGACGAGAAAGCGGCCCTATGGAATTGGTCCAGACTTCTCTTGGGGGAAGCGTAAGACTCGAGTACGCGGGAACTCGGGTTTGCTGCCGCTTTTTGACGAGCGCGTCCTGGGTTTCGACGGTTCCGTTTCCGTGGGATGTCTGCGGCGGGAGTTCGCGTCAAATCTCAGGTTGCGTCTCGTCATTTCCATGGTGGCCCTGTCAGGCCAACCCGAGTCCCGGGATCCCGAGTCTCACCACCC